TATTAATCAAATAATGTGAATTCTTCATAAAATAGATTACACAAATGTTGGGAAATTTAATAGGCAATATTGTAAACCAAACTAAACGAAATCATATTCCCAGGGTAACCCATGGACGAAACCTGATTGTATCAATACCATCGTGCTGCAAGTCAAATTTTGTAAATAAAATATATTTATCTGATTATATAACTTTACTTTAATTTAAATTAATCAAATAATTTAGGAAAGACACTCTCACATAGTCAATCGTTTAGCTCTATCTTCAGAAAGGCGCCTACTTTATGCGATTTAGTGACCCATCCTTGACGCAAAATGCCGGCTCACTCTAGTGCCGAACAAAGAAAGGTTAAGGAAACGAAAGACAATGATAAGCCAATTAAAGGTAGTCTTAAACATAGTAAATTTAAAGCTCTATAGCTTTGGACGAAGGAGATATCGCCCTTCTTAAGACATACGTAGGTTTATGCAGTCTGACATTCTTCAGGGTGCTGCCTCATATAGCAAAGAAATAAAACAATGTGAAGAAGATATTCAAGCAATAATGAAAAGGGTTAATGAACTTACAGGTATTTGTAACTATTGTAATTTACTTTTGCACAGGTATAAAGGAGTCAGACACAGGCCTGGCTCCCCCAGCTCTGTGGGATCTCGCAGCAGATAAAGTTTGCCTTTCGAACGAACATCCTCTTCAAGTTGCTAGGTGCACAAAAATCATAAATGCTGATTCTGAGGAGCCTAAGTATATCATAAATGTCAAGCAATTTGCTAAATTTGTTGTCGACCTCGCTGAAAGTGTTGCACCTACCGATATTGAGGAAGGCATGCGTGTTGGAGTCGACAGAACTAAATATCAGATACATATTCCTCTTCCGCCTAAAATAGATCCTAGTGTCACAATGATGCAAGTGGAGGACAAACCAGATGTTACTTATGGCGACGTAGGTGGTTGTAAAGAGCAAATCGAGAAGCTCCGGGAGGTAGTGGAGATGCCTCTTCTGCACGTAAGCCATTCTAGCATCTCTCTATCTTGGCTTAACCGGTTTTTCGCCAAAAATTCTAATGGATTATCTACTTAACGTAATACATTTGCTCATGTTGCACTTTCATCTCATTTAAGATTAGAACAACTTGAGAAAGAAAAGAATTTTGGCTATTGTTCAAAAACTTCCCTTAATATTTTTGCGTGACGTCTAATTAGAATTATACTTTAAAGTTATTATCTTCATTCCATCAATATTTCGTACTGCTCTTGAGCACCCGTTACGGTCTAAACTTTCAGCGATGGTGTTAAACATAATGTTAATCAACTTTTATGTAGGGCTGCTATAATGAAGCCTCGAGAATTTATTTTTCATTCTTCATAATTTATTATATCTTGTCTGTAACTCGAGTTGCTTTCTATTATTTCAATTATGCGAAAATACATTTAAATTGTATC